CAGCCAAAACGGCCACTAGACACAGGACAATGGTCTCCCCACTTTTACCTCACTTTCTTGAACCGTTCTTGGAGTTTCACCTGCTAGTTCATCATGTGCCCTCAGAGACTTAATTTTGTTACCTAGCTTATTAAGGCCCCTTCAGGGACAACATAAGTAAATTCTTAATACGTATCCATATCACACTAGGCGTTATACCTGAGCCAGAAACTTACTTTTTTTTTTCCTAAAATGAAATTTACGTCACTTACGAATATTTGGCTGTAGAGTACAATATGGTGAAGAAACGTCTCTTGGCGATGATTTTGTAAAAGATTCAAAAGGATATGAAGAATTCATGAAATGTGAAGAAGAAAATATAGAAAGAAGAGTTTCTGGTAAAACAACTAATGGTGTTCCACCGGACAGATTCTGCTATAAAGTAGAAGACGAAGACCACCAGAAAAAGAGACAGTAGGTAGAAAATGGGTGATTAAAATCAAATTCGATGAAACTTGTAAGAAGATAACATACAAAGCAAAATTAGTGGCTGAAGATTTTACTCAAAAATGCGGCAATGATTATGATTAAAAAGTTTCACCAATAGTGTTGTTGTTGTCGCTGATCCTAACTGGTTAGCCATTAAACTAGACCAGATCCATGAGTTCGAGAACCGTCAATAAATCCAAAACGAAGGTAGGTCTTTTCAAATAGGTCCATTTTTACAAGTCCGAAACAGGTGAGAATATGTTAAGGAGTGAAATGGTCAATATTACATTTCCTACAGATGGGGTGGATCTTATTTCCCCTGTCAAATGTAAGGCATTTCAGGTGCCCACTTAGGATCCTCGTCAAAGTAGTCTGCTGAGCACGATTACCCTAAAAACCAATAACATCTGCCAGCTGCCTGCCAAAGTACCAGAGTACCAGTGATGAGTGAGAGGAGAATACTAAGAAGAGGCAATAGTAGATTTAACTCTCGAGCAGATCTCCAAAAAGGTCCGGATGCTAGTGATCATTGAGTGATTGAAGTACCTTTCTTAGATATGTCATCAACCATTTTATTTTTGTGAAGGGATCCATTGCAGATGTACATCACGATGGGAATAGTGTTTTTGTAGTAAAGCCAAAATACAGAGTGAAATCTTAACACCAATACCAGGCCAGTTTTGCGGATGCTGGATAGAACTGCGACTGTCAGTCAAAATTACAGGTATATTTGTAGGCAGTGCAAGTGTATGCAGTGTATAAAGCCGCCTCAATTACTATAAGTTCAGAAAGAAGAACGGAACAGTGATCAGGGTTTCTAATCTTAATTTTAAAGTTATTAACAAGTTTCTAATGCAGACTCCACTGCCTCAGTTCCCATGTTTAATTTTACTGCCATCAGTGAAAATCTGAAGAGCATCAGAAGGAATGCCATTTAAAGCTTCCAGCGCAGTCTGCTGAAGACAATTTGGTAAATCCATTTATTTGTTGGTATAAGAGATTAAGTCCTTCCAATGGTTTCATAGTAAATTTCAGTGAGTATCTCTCAACAGTTGTACCTATTAAACCCATGAGATAAGCCAAAGAAAAAGGGCCATTTCGTTTTTAATTTTGGGTCCATTCAAGCAAAGCGGATCCGTGTCTTTTCATAACAGGAGGTCGTGATAAAAGAATTAATGAAATTGTGTATGTTCATGATGCAAGTTTTAAAGAAGGACTAATTCTTCAAGTAATTAACTATTTAAAGAAACACTATCAAATAACACATCTTGGGGAAGTTAAATAATTTTAGACATGGAAATAATTCGATAGGGAGATGGAAATTATCTCTGATCTCAGAAAAATGAAATAGACCAATTTGTCAAGCAATTTCAGCTTGAAGAAGCAAAACCTCCTAGTACACCAATGGAAACAAATTTTTATAGTCTAAACCAGGAAGAAAATAATAAATGATATATTTTGACTAGCTAACGGCAGCCTTTTGTATATATATATCGTCTATAGACTAGATATCACAGCTTTAACTCACATACTTAGCAGAAGAAGGAATAATCCTCGTCAAAAGGACTGGAATGCTGTAAAAAGAATCAGTAGATATTTAAATACAACAAAATACCTACCTCTGCATATTTCGTTGATTAAAGAACCTAATCTTACAGTTTATTCAGATGCTGATTGGAGACAAGGTATTAAAGAAAGAAAATCTGAATCAGGAAGTGTAATTTTATTAGGCAGAAACTGTAATTCGAGATTTTCAAGAAAACAAATGTGTTTCTTTTTATCCTCAGCAGAAGCTGGATGTATAACACTTCCGCAAGCTACGCAAGAATTATTGTGACTGTTAAAACTAACATAAGATTTTACCCCAAACTCTACCAATAAAAGGTTTTGAAGATAATTAGTCAACAGGAAAACTTAAAGAATCTGAAAAGTACAGCTCACGTACAAAATACATCAACACAAAATGCATAAAAAAATTTATATAAAAAAACATTGTAAAATTGTCTTATCTTTTATCAGAGCAAATGGTTGCGGATATTTCGACTAAACTAACTCCTATAGCTAAACTTCAGTTTTGTAGGAATCATTTACAATTGGTATGAGTTTCATTAGCAAAACTAGAGCAGTATTAGAATAAATTAGTGTCTCTTTCGCATAATAAAACTGGGGCGAGGAAATCGAACGTACTCTAACTATATATTAGCGAGAGAGGATTCACTCTAGACCTTATAGCTAAACCAGAGTCTCAGTCAGTTTTTTCTTTCAACCGTTTTACATTCCATCTTGGACAGTAGTCCTGCATTTATCGCCTAACAGGTAAACATGAAGATATTTATGACTGTTGAATGAGTTTATGTAAGTTCTTTTCGGCATTTTTAATTTTAAATGTCGGTTAAGTCTGTTAACTTAATTTTTGTTCTAATTAAGTAAAACTCTTTTCTAAGAGATCTAATTAAGTAAAACTCTTTTCTTTTTCTTCCCTTCTTTTTTTCTTTTCTTTCTCTCTTTTCTTTAAATTAAAGTTTTCATAATTGTTTTGACTTACAATTCTTTGTTGAAACTGCGCTAGATAGAGGATATCGTACTAAAAACGCCTTAGCTGTTTTAATGCACAACACATATATCTAATGATACTTTTTGCTTTTTGGGGCTTAATTTTAAAGTATGTATATTTACGAACAAGCCTTTCCTGCGATTCGAACGCGGGTATAACGATGTAGCAACACTATTGGAATTATCTGGTTACAAGACTAAAGTAACGTCCTATCACTGTCTTATTAAACTCAGGTAAACCTGCTCCGACATGACAACCCCATTGCAAGCATCGCCGAGCCGAAGCAGCGTACTCACTGCCAAGTACGTTTTGTGAGTTTAATGTTGAATTGTACCACCAAGAAATTGCTCTTGACCCCCGTGTTGGGAGACCGCCAGCAGCTTGGTGGCTGGCCCGTTAGCCGCCCGCAATCCGAAGAAAGTTGCCGACCCTCCACTCCGCCGAGGTGGACCCCCAGAGGGGTATAACGATGTAGCAGCCAGCTTTGCTAAACATCGTACCACTCAGATCAGCATACATCTAATTTTTGTGGATGCTGAAAAGCCAATAATTTTTTTTAAATGATTCAGGAATTAATCGACTAGTTTTCGCTTAATACCTATTGATTAAACTACAGACAAAAATTTATAAATTAAATGAGGTACCTCTAATTCAGAATACAGGTGCAAATCTTTACAAGCTGTATTCCATGCACTTGCTTTTAAAATTCTCGAAAGAGCTGATTAAGTTTTACAATTAAGAAGTTTAAAAAAATGTTTTTGCACGAGAAACGTTTATTTATACTCTGGATTTTTGTTGGATGTAATGTATAGAATATGCTGTTCTATGTTATGTTATTTTACATTTTACGCGTATTTCATTTGGTTATCTTTTTCAAACGGTTCGGCTGAAGTAATTTACTTAGTGCGGTTAGTTTGCCAACTAGATCTACCACCTATTTCGCCATTTAAGATCGTACTTATTTAATTGCTTTTCAAGAATAACAGATAAATAAAAAGAAAAAAAAATCATAAATGTAATTAGTTTAAATCATAAATGTAGTTAAGTTTGCGCATAAAAAGTTCATAGGCATTGCAAAAAATCGCTTTACGTCATTCGTGACCAATTAAAGCTTACAATTCATTTCACGTAAAGGATGATCCCAGCTATTTTACTTTAAAATATTTTAAAGCTGAAGTATAATTAATATTAATTATATAACGAGCAAATTCTAATTAAATAACGCATTATTATATGATAATAGTATTACTTATTAAATAATTATCGTAACTTAATCATGGTTACTAATTTAAATTCATACTACTTAGAAAATTGTTCAACGAAGTTAAGGCTCTTAAGGTATATTACTCAATCAGTTTTAATTTTTGACAACAAAAGAAATCACCTTTAAATATTCTTAAAATTTACTATAATAATTTTCTGTCTTCCTCATAAATATGTCTCTGAAAAATCCCTGATTTTTGTATTCGACTAATTTGTCTGAGCTTAATGTTTAAATGTAAAATTTAGCTTTGGAATGACAGGTCTGGAAAACATATTCTGCACTGCACCTATATTTGTTCTTTCCTTTTTTTAGGAGAGGGTAGTATGTCGGGGCATGTGCAGAAGAACATCTCAGGAAGAAATTATGAGAAAATACTTCAACGCATTTCCTAAATTAAAAAAAAAAAAAAAAAAAAAAAAAAACCGAAGGAGGGGCGACGATTTAAAAAAACTATATAAGCGAAACTGGACTTTATATGTAAGAAAAAAATGTGAACATTGCAACGGACAGCCTTAGTGAAACTGATCATTGAATCTGAACTTCTCAAAATACGTGATTTACTTAGCATCATTGGATGTCGGAAGACAAGGCAGAGATCTAAAAGTCCAATCAGAATGCTTTATCTTCTGCGCTTGCGCTCTCCATCTTCGCACACTGGGTTCACTATCAGATCCCGCGTGATTTTGGCTAATGAACATCTGTTCTCAGCCGCGTATCGAGCATCCCTCGAGTCAGTTCGTTTCTCATTAGCTACCGGAATACTTTCCGAGATTTCGCTTCCAGATACCCGGGAACTCTGAGGCAGTGTTTTGACATCTTATACTGGATGATGCTTTCACCATCACTTCTTTGATGAATTATGAGAGGGAAAGCAGAGGAGCTGGTACTAACTATCGTTGTAGAGATTATATTTATCAGGTGAGAGTGCATGCTTTTTCTTTAGTCTTCATTTCTAAATGTCAAATTTTTCTGGATACCTAGTTTGTCAATTTAACAGGTAAGAGAGTGTTTTATTTTCTTGAGGGTATGAATTAAGAGTACGACGCGATGTCAACTCGCAGATTTATCAGGTGAGATTAGTTTGGTTTTGGTCTGTGCATTATGCTTAAGTTTGGATTAAAATCATTTTTGAAAGGAATTGCTGCTCATTAATCATGTGTAGCAGCAATAAAACTATCCAAGGTATTTGCATCCTTACAATAAAAAAAAGGTAATACTTTATTCCTCTGTTGAATTTATTTATATACCATAAGAATGTAATGAAATGAAAGATTACAGGAATTAATACCAAGAAAAGTAAAGTAATATAAATTTCCAAAAATGCAATAAAGCGAAAAGATAGCTGCTATATAAGAAACTAAATAGCACCTTTCAGTAAATTTATGATATTTATATTATCATTATATGCCAAAAACGTAGCATATGCGTGAAATTAGTAAGAGAGCAGAATTCTTTCGCAAAGTTAACGCATTTCTTTGTTTTTTGGACGGAACTCTTAAATTCCAACAGAAAAAAAAATTAACTTTGATCCTAATGAAATTAAGCAAATCAAATGAAACTTTCAAATTTAACTAGAAAGTATTTTTTAATAATCGGCTGAGATTTATTAAAAACATTATTATACTTTTCAAACGCAATTTTTATACTTATTTTTTTGGTAAAACTAATTATTTTGTAATACTTAGAAATTCAGAAAAATCTGTTCATTTTAAGAAATTATCGATGCTAAAAGACACCCCGATTTCTCGACATTTGTACGAGAAAAAGGGATTGCCTTAGATTTGAAACCTTATAATAGTAAATATGTAAAAATAAGTTTATTGGCCTTCTTGTTTTCTCCCTCGGAGTAGAAACACGAATAGTAAATGAAATGAAGAATGTCACGTGTCTGATCTTAATCGTTTAAAAATATAATTAAGAATTATTTTATATATTATTAATAATATTATTAAACTATATTACGAATAAAACTTTTTGAGGAATTAAGTTACCTTAAATTGGTTAGTTGGTTTTTTTAAACGCGGCAAATAAATGAGGTCTATCTGCTAAAAGAAGGCATGTCTTCGTGAAAAATATTTAAAATCCATAAATAGGAACAACCAATAAACTCAACAGCACATATTTCATAAATAAATATATTTTGATTCTTTGACTTCAAATCCCAATCTTTCGTTATTGTAAACTTACTCAAGATACATTGAAAATCGTATGTCATTTCTGGTTGTATTATATATTACTTAGAATTTAGTGTGTAGGAAGATATGTAGCCAAACAAACAGAAGGGTTACATTTAGCAATTAAATTTACTTTAAACAAAGTTAAAAACATTTTTTACTCTGTGAACATCTAACTATGACTTGATTAGCGTGAAATTTCGATATTTACAATAATTTGCTTTTTTTATGATTACAAATTGCGAATATTATAGTATTTCCATTTTAATTAAACATTTTATTTTTGCTGCTATATGCGCAATTCGAGTGCTGAACATTTTCTACTCGAAGTACTTTCTTTAAATTCTAAGCGGTTATTTCCATTTCTAACAATTATCAAGCCAATACAATGCATTTAATTACATTTTATAGCAATAACTTTTATACGAGTAGTAAACGAAATGAATTAATAACTGGACGAATCTTCTCTAAAATTTTGTATTGAAGAGCAAATTTTTCAATACAAGGCTGAAAAACCATGCTTTTCAGTTAACGGAAAGCAGAAGTAAAAATAAATAATGTGTCCGTCCTGTTGAGATATGTAAATATTAGACATGGGTAACAATTTTTTGTAATAAAATGAAGGATAACAATTTATTTTATTGAAAAGGATAAAAATTTTTAATAAAGAAAGCATAACGATTTTTCTAATAAAATAAGTTTCTGATTACTTGAGACTTGCAACTGTCATAAGAAGAATTTTCTATTTTTGTGTAAATTTTGGATAAAATTTCTAGTTTTTTGATTCCTACTTTCTTCTAACATTAAAATTCATTTAATTTACATGTAACTTATGCATACAATTCAAATTCACATGTAGTAAAAAATGAAAATTTTTAATACCGACACAATATTTATTTATTCTAGAATAAATTGAAAAGTATTTCTGGTATTTTAAACTAATTTTTAAAAACAGACTTAGTTTAAGCAGAAGCACTAAAAAATGCATCTTACGTAAATAAATAAATTAAAATAACCTCTCTATCTTTTGATGTTGCACTGGAACTGACTGAAATTCGCTTGCTGGGTTAAAACACACTTTAGTGTTAACAAAATTTTGAGATAAAATGATTTTTAATTATTTAAATATGCAGCCTATTTCAACTGAAACAGAAAAACGAAATTTGTTTTTATTTACGTGGACCATAAAAGCCATCATATAATCTTGTTTTTATTTTAACTGGATTAAAAGTAAACAGAGAAATTATTTTTTATTCGCATGTAACAAAACACACATCAAATTTGCAATAAGCATAAATTAAGCTAAGACATTATTATTGTTTTTGACTATGAAATAAATGAAAAATAATACGCCTGAGTATGATACGTAACTCCTTTTAGATTAATATTCATTGGCTTCATGTATGCCGAAATTTGTATTCCAATCTACGTATTGCGCACATTCGTCTAAATTAATTTAGCATCTTTCTAAAAATATGTATTGTTCTTTATTATCCTTTTGTATTATTAAAATCAACGATAAAAGTAAAAACCACATAAACAAATAAAAAGAATTATTAATTTTGATAAACCTATGAAAATAAGTAAGCGAACGGGATAAGAGAAATTATTCCATACTGAAATATTATTGTAAATTATTGTTTTAGTACTAATATTAGGAATTTACAGTTATTAATGATAAAAGAATAATTATGCAATTAAGGAATTATGTAATTTTTAAAATCGCAGTGCGTTGCACTGTTAGTTCCTTTTCCGAAAACTTATATTTTAGAGGTCATTTTCCGATACGAATTTGAAATTTCTTTTAATTGCACTAAAAACCATTAACTTCACTATCATTACCAATTTCTTGTGAATAAAGCTTGTCTGATTCAAGCCATCATTCTTTCAATGATATGTTATTTTATGTAAGATCATGGCAGCAATGCTTTGCACTCATCATGAAGGATGTGTTTTTCAATACGTTGTGCTGCTTTGGAATATTTTGAAAATTTAATAATAATAACATTTAATACCTGATCTTTTCCTTGGGTTAGAATTACAGGTTAGTAAATAATATATAATTTTATATACATTGTATAAACTAATATCTAAAGGGAAATCCAGACTTTGTAATATGTATTCATATTAACTATTGAACTATTTCTCTTCTCAAAATGTTATTTCATAAAACAAATTTAAAAAATGAATTTGATCTCTTAAAATGAATAAAAAAGATATTTATTATCTCAGACTTGACAAACATATATTTTAAGAATTCATAATTTCATTTTTCAGCGTATGAATATGTTATTACTGCAGAAGAAATTATACTTATGCTAATTATTATCGATATTAATACTAGTTGTGCTAATTATTATCGATATTAATACTAGTTGCATTAATATTCTTGTTAATAATTAGAAAGGATAAAAAATAATTTGGATAAATACATCGAAGAACAAGTAACAAGTAAGTCATAAACAAGTAAGATTTATAAAAATGCAATTTTTCACAAAGAGATATTTCCTTTAAATTGGATATTGAATTATGAGTACTTAAGAAGTCTTTAATTTTTTAAGGAAAATTTTGGGAATAATCTCTTTTTAAGTAATTAATACTCAGGAAATTTTCCATTTATATTAACACCTTGGTTTCAGTTTTTCTGCTTTTTATACAACATTTAGTTAGAGAACACTGCATAGTACGTCTGTGAAAGATTTGTCATTTTTAGCTTAATGCATTCGATTTTTAATCTGGATTTATTAATTACCTTTTGTATATTTGGCTGATGAACGTCCCACTGAGAAAGATTAAATGCAAAGGCGTCAAAGACAGCATTTAAATAGAAAATGGAACTTTGCCTTGATTTTATTCTCAGCCATGCATGGATTTAAGAAAAATAATATAGCACATTATGAACGCCTCTGTAAGAAGCTGCATCGCTCTGAGAGTTACAATCTACGATATAGTCCCGAAAAGCTAAACACTAAGAAGGGCTGATCTCATGTAATAATTCATCGAAATTTTGCTTTGGCCCATTTGATTGCAAACCATATCTTGTGTGGTCCCACAGGTTTTAAATAACGCATGAAACTTGCAATCTTAATAGTGATGGAAATGCTTGAACATGTTACAAGTACTAAATGGAATTCTAACTACGTATAACTTCTCTTAGAAAGTCCCCCACGAAGGCATCCCTCCCCTTTGGCAGATAGCCCTAGTGTGCTTTGCCATAATCAACTAAACAAAACCAAATCTAGCTACATATATGCGGATGTTATTTTGCTTGAAAGTGAGTTGTGTTAGACCATTCTAAAAGCAGTAGCGATAGCAGGAAGTATCTGCAGAACCTTGCTAATCTTGCAGCTGTCAATATGTCTTTGATGCGGACAAGAGGCGACACGTTAACACTTGAATTAACATCCCGTACCTTGATGACTGCCTCGCGGAAGATGCTGAGGTTTCGAACGAAACCGCGACCCGTACCGTCTTTCTTTCAGACACTGATCTCTGAATAGTAAGCTCCCAGTTAGAAAAGGGATTCATTACCGAGTATACAGTGGTCCTTTAGTAACCTCAGCTGGCATGGCTTCGGCACCAAGCCAAAGATTTGCCTGTTATGCAAGTTTGTTTCCATATCCTTCCATTTATAGTTCAGTTTATTATGACGATATTCATGGTTGATGATCTGGGGCACTGAATATCACCTTCAGTGTTTTGAGATGCGTCGTACCCAATAATCCGACAGTGAAGACGTGCTGA